AATTTTAAATTTAATAATTAATTTTTTTTAAAATATTAATTAAAATAAAAATTTTTAGACAAACTTTTAAAAAAAAAATTAAAAAGATAACTTGAGAAACACTTTTTCCTTAACAATATTAAAAAAATTAAAGTATTTCCATAAATTCGCCAATGTGTATTACGTGTTATCGACGTGCACTATAGTAAATAGCATTTTTAAAAAAAAAATAATTTCAATAAATCACTGATATGCATCATATTGTTAAAATATTTCAGGTAAAAATGAATTAAATTGAAAAAAATTTATAAAAACTTTACATTCAACGGCAGAATTTATGTAAAAAATATAATAACCACCCCATTTCATTAACATATTAAAAAAAATTACATTATGGCAGAATTTATATCGGGAAGTTTCTCTCTACAATGGCTTCGCTTTCAACCTCTCTCTTCACCCCAAAAAGCCACCTTCAGAATAGTAGTTTGATAAGAAAACTTCATCCTCCACCATTTATAATTCAGCACAATCTAATTTTTTGGGAACTTGACAATTTGCATATATATTTCATTGGGAAAGAATATTATTCTTAAACTATTGTATATAAAGAGTTGTTAGTATAATTATTGTGGATAAAATAGTTTCATAAACTATTTTAAGAATAATAATTTTTACCTATCCATTAAAAACATTATTCCCATGATACAATATCTACTCAAAGAACTTCGATCACCCAAATCAGTATACTCAAACTTAATTAAAAGCAAAGCCTCGAAATTCAAATAAAAAGAAAAAAAAGGGCAACGAAGAAACTATAAAATTCACAAAAAAAAAAAAAAAAAAAAAAACTTTAATGAGTACTTTTTACACAGTCTAAATTAGATGCAAATTTTCTAATAATTTTCGTTTTTCTGCATCTGTTTTTTACACCAAAAGTTTTAAGTTAAAATATTAATTTGATTCTTCAACTTTTAGATTTCTATTAAAATTATCTTTTAACTTCAAAAAGTATTAATATTGTCCCTAAATTGTAATTTTGGTGTCAAAATAATCCTCAAACTTTAAAGATAATACTAATTTAATCCTTAAACTTTGAAGACAAGTACCAAATTAGTCCTTGAATATTGATTTCAAGTACCAATTTGGTCTTTTAATTTTGATTATATATCAATCTAATATGTCAATAGAAATATGTCATAATGGTAAAATATGATTGTTTAATTTTACACATCATTAGTAGTTTAAAAAAGAACTAATTTTTGTGGCAAAATAAAGAGTTTTGTACACTTTTGTTAACAGAATGATTTTTTTGGTATTGAAAATTAAAGTTCAAGGACATTTTTGATACCTTTTGAAGTTAAAAAACAAGTTTAGTACAAATCTAAAAGTTAAAAGACCAATTTAATATTTGGGAAAGGTTACGTGCACATCCTAAACTGGTACACACTACCACATACCTCTAGTTCACCCAATAAAATATTGTGGGGTGCCAAAATACTCTTATCCTTGTCTTCTTCATCACAACGTACTGCTTCCTCTCCCTTTCTCACTCGTTGCCTCCCCCTCAAATGTATTCTCTTCTCCAATCCTCCCCTAAATCTTCCCTTTCCTCCTCCACCCACTACTTTGTTTCTCAAAACAAGAAGGGCAACCATAACCCACCTCCCCAAGAAGCTTGCCGTTACAAGATCCAATACTTGTAACTTGTTCCTTTTTAACCCTCAATTTCCAAAAACCATTTCACATTGATGAGTCCTCCGATTTGACCATTTGGGAACAAGAAGTGTGAGGGGATTCAAGAATTACTGAAAAACTAAAGAAAATAAAATTGGGTCATCACCGACATCGATATTGTGTGCTGGGTTAGATCTGGGTTTGCAAGGAACCCAGATTTGTCCCAAACCCAAATCATCTGAGTTTGTGCAGACACAACATTGTCTTCGCACAAACCCAATCACAGCAAGGGAGAGGGGAAGAGAAATGTAGTCGAAAATGGGTAGAAAAAAGGTATTGGAAAAGTGCTAGATTCATGGAGAAGAAGATGAATAGGGGAGGCACCTATTTTCAATCTGTTTGGTAACAAGAATAGGCAATGTCTATAGTTTCAACCCTTATTCCAAGCTAACTAACAAGGACGAAGCCAATGAAGGACAAGGGGGGGCAACTACCCCCCCAAACTTTTGAAAAACATTTAATATGGTACTTCAACTTTTATTTGTTAAAAATTGTGTTATAGTATGAATTTCAAGAATCATTTCAAATGTAGAGAGAATATTTATGACTTAAATAAAAATTTTTCAAAAAATAAGGATATGATTTTAAATAAAACAAATTTTGTGACAATTTAATTAAGAATTGTGGTTCTTAAACATTTCCTTATCTATTATGGCCCAAAAAAGAAAATTTTGATTCTTTATTTAATTAGAAGTTACTGCATATCAGTCATGACTTTTAAAAATAATTGGAGTGCTAATTTATATCTGGAAACTGAAATCTCATTCTGTTAAATGTTGATATCTAAATTTGAAAACCTATTATATATTCTAATACAATCAGTTTCTAAATCTAAATATCAACATTTAATAAAATAATTTTTAAAATATTGAATTGAGTTTTAATTAGATAAAACAACATAATTTAGAATTAGAACTCTAATTATTTTTGAGAATCAGGACTAATATGCACTTTTCTTATTTAATTAACTTTAAATTTATAGTCTTCTTTCTTTTTTAATTTTCTTTCTTAATATTCTATATAATAATTTTAAACTTTTTTATGGTATTGAGGTACATTTTTACCTTTCATGATTGAATTTATAATCTTTTTTGTATTAAATCCATCAAAATTAGAGTTAACTTTTTAAAAGAAATATTCAAGTATTTTTTTATAATATTAGTATTTATCAACATGATCTCCAAAAAATTAGGAAGACAATACCCCAAAATTACATTATTTCACTAAAATCATAGTACTCTCGTTTCTACTTTAAAAATATGTTGTTTTTGTTTATTTCAAAGTGAGTTTATTAAAACAATGCAATTTTATGGTATTTTTCCTTTTAATTTTTTTAGAGATTTTATTAACAAATACATTTTTCTTTTGTAATTAATTCTTCAATTCATCGTTATATGATTTATAACTATAATATTTTATATTTCATTATAATATATATACATTTATTTCTAATTTTTATTAAGAATATATCAATAAAAAAAATCAAAGTGAATCTTTTTATAAAAAAGAGAAGATCTAAAAGAAAATAAATTAATATCACAGAAGATACTCTTGAAAACTCAAATCTTTAATACTAATTTTTGCTCTCTCTAATAGAATTTTTTGGCTCCGTCCCTGTTGACTAATAAAACATATTTTATGGAGTGTGTCCCACCATGTGTTGAACCAACGGGTACATCCATCAGCATTCTTAATATTTTAACCAAAGTTTAAAACATATCTGGAACGGTTGCTTATATTCGGTTGCAAATTCAAAACTGAATTTTGAAATATTCAGATTTTGGAGAGCGTAGAGACAGTTTCTAAACTGTTTTCAACTGCTTATTTTCTACCTCATGCTTTCTTTTTCCATTGTTTCTAACATTCCTTTTTGACTCGATCAACTAACCATACCCACATGCTCCTAATAGTAATGCAAATTATATATAATATTATATACCATAACGAAAGAAGATCAGTTTTGATTTATATTAAAAAAAATAAAGTTTTAATTTTAAAAATATTATTTTTTAATAAATATTTGTTATGGTATATAGTAATATTTTATTAATATAAATCATACAAGTTAATTTCTAAGGGAATCTAATATATATAATTATTTAATTAGAAAACTTATATTTTTTACTATATATTTAAAGGTGGTAAATTTTTTATAATAAATAAATAAGTTATGTATATTTAATTAATCTGAAAATTGATATACATATTTTTTATAAATAAAATACAAAATCTAAGTCTAACAGTTAATTTTTAAAAATATTTATTAGAGGGTGATATTCTTAAAATTGAGATTCTGATTTTTTTTTTTTTTTATATTTGATGCCAATATGCATTATTCTCTTATATAATTATAAATTAATGCAAATACCATCTACATTATTAGAAAAATATTTAATACGTATAACAGATGCTTATCGGAATAAATAATGCAGTTTGATCATGGAAGAGGAGGAATTAAGTTATTGGTAGAGGAAGCCCTTGATGAGTACATAAAGCAGCAGAGGATGAGATTGTTCTGGTTATCATTGCAAACCTACTTGATGGGAATAAACATTAACAATGAATAAAAAATTAAAAGGGTTTTAGGTATTACGTATCTTCCTAATTGCTATCTTTGGGGACAACAAACTTGTTTAAGATTGGGTCTTTAATTTTTATTTTAAGAATTAAAACTGATACGTAATGTTTTCTTAATATAAAATACATAAAGAGGTTTATCTATTAAGAGAAAATAAACTACTCCATGAAGAGGTTTATTTGATTAATTTTCTTGCATTGGCAGCATGATGAGTCAAAATCCCAGGAAATCATTGAACGAGAGATTAAAAATGCTCCTCTTGGTCAAGGCACTGTTAGGATGCTTGCTCGTGAAGAGTGGGAGGAATTCGAGAAGTGAGACCAAGGACTCCTTTTGAATCCAAGCTTGCACGTCCTAGTGCACAAATAAGAACCGGCGAATCAGTACATATGGTGAGTTACATACTTCTCACTCCTGAGTCCTTAATCGTGTTTGATTCATGAAACTGTGAATGTGTCATCTCAACGTTCTCATAGTCTTATAGACGGTGTCATCAAATGCCACAAGCATTGGTGAATGGTGATAGACCTGGAAACCAAGTGTCTCCACAATGTTCTGCATAGCAGTTGTGGTCTAAATTAGGACTACAAGAAAATAAATCAAGTTCTGTAGAAAAAAGATTTGTAGCTATATATTATGTTGTTGTTATTGTATAAATCTTTTACGTCCATCTCTTATTCTTAGTTTCACAACAGTTTGCTATTCCTCTACATTCATCTCACTCTTCCTGTCTAATATGACTTTTAACTAGGTTGTTGGTTGCAAATTTGTGACTGAAAGTAGCACTTTGAAAGTCTAAGGTATTCATTCCTAGCATGAGAAATTGAATAATATCAATCATGTTGGTGGAGATTCTTACCCCAAGAAAGTGTTGTAGATGACTACACATGCTACAAAATTTGTCTTGGAGATTGTCATTTTCGTTAAATACCTTATTAGAATTCATTCGCTCGTATCACTTCTAAGGGCTTATTGATAATCTAATCATTTCCTTTCATGAAAATGGGATGGTGGTGTAGGTAATCTATAAACCATTATATTTCCATGACAGAGTTGAATATGTTAAGATTATTTTATGGATAGTAATTGGTATACCTTTGGTTCAACCCACCAATTAATTCATTAAAAAACTAATATTTTTAAATTTGAATTAAAGGTGAGAAAATTTTAAAAAACAAAATTTAATAATTGAACCAATTGGTGTTATTAGATGTGTTGAACTGGAAGTTTTACCAATCATTTTTCTTATTTTATATCAACAGCATTCTATTATTAGTCCATATATATATAGGAAAATTATTGGTACACCTTCTGATTCAACACATCTAATAACATCAACTGGTTTAATCATTAAAATTTGTCTTTGAAAATTTTCTTACCTTGAGTTCAAATTTGAAAATATTAGTGTCTTAATGAATTAATCAGTGAGTGTTATTAGGTAGATTGAACCGAAAAGTGTACCCATTATTATTTGTATATATATTAAGAAAATTAAAAAGGAAACTAGTAAAATTATGCTTTGCCATCTCATATGGAAAAGTCTCAAGTGCTCATTGCATCTTGAGAACGTAGTTGATTACCTAGTAAGATTGCAACACAATGGCTAAATTGCTCATATTTGCTCTTTTTTTTCTCCTCTCCAGGAGGACTTGAAGAACTGGACAATTGATGTTCTCACAGACGCACTTACACGGGCTGAAGAGAGTGTTAAATACGGTTCAAAGTGATTTCAGTCTTGGTGTGAGTACAGTTCAATGGGAGAAAGAAACAAAATCTTAAAAGATTTTCAAGCTTGAAGTTGATGCACGCACGGGCTGGTGCAATGCCATAGCATCTTGAATCTCACTTGATTTAAACAAGATCATTAAGTTTAATGCCATACGGACATCTTAATTCTCTATATTCTTTGCTACAGCTGTTCCATCTGATAATTTGGTTGCATGCCATATTCCATGCCCAGCTTTTCATCTCTCTCTAGTCTTTTATATATTTAACTATTGATTGATCTTTTATCATTTAGTCTAAAATGTTTATTTTCTCTTATTGCATGTTTGGTTTGTTTTGATTTGATTTGAGGGGAGGGAATAAGAGGGGAAAAAATTTATCTATTTGAATAACAAAATATTAGAAAGGAATGGAGGTGAGGGGTTTTCTCTTATTTTTTTTAATTACCTTTGCATTTTAGTCTAAGGAGACAGAAATGAAAGAACCTTTCCCTCCGTTTAATTTCTTTAATTCAAATATGGTTTAGTAACTTTAAAAATTGTATAGGTTGATAACAAAAACTTTAAAAATCGTATAAATACAGTTTATTTATCACTTTTTGGCTTAACTGATGGTAATCATATAATCAGAAAGTAAGAACAGGGAAAGGAAAAGGGCAGAGGAAAATACACGAACAATACCGACTGTGACAATTAAAGAATGCCTGATGTTCATGCATTAACGAGACAATTAAATGAAATTAACAATTATTTACATCACAAATAAACTTTTTTGTAATGAAGTGCCATGATGTTTTCCATACAGTTTGCGAGATGAAATTAAAAGATGCTAAAATGCTATGATCAATTATGGATGAGCTTATTAAGGCAGAAATTATGGTACAACTAGTTTTTGCCACGTGACAAGAGTAGTGTTTAATTGAAATTTGAGCTCGATATAATCATAATTTCAAATTATTTTTGGACATTTAATGAATAATGAAGCTATATTAAGTCTAATCTCCTAACAAATGTTTGAAATTGGGCCCAGCATGGCACTAGTTTAGTCCAACTTTGCAATTGAACATAAAGCCAGCGGCAGTTTCTACCTAGTTCATGAATAGCACTTACAACAATTCTGTAACTTGTTGTTAGTGTACAAGAGATTCAGCTCACATAGCAAATTCTTTATTTTTGTCATTTATCATTTGGTTGACTCCAACAATCAAATTTAATGTAGTTGTCCTTCTTCTGCTATTACATTTTGTATTTTTATAAAAAATTTACATTTTTATCTAATTATTTAGGAAAATGATTAGTACACTCTACAATATACCCATTAATAAACTATCATTTTCAAATTTGAATTTATGATGAAAAAATTTTCAAAGGCAAATTTTAATAATTAAATCGGAGTGTATTGTGTAATGTGTTGAACCAGAAAGTGTACCAATCATTGTCCAATTATTTAACTTCAATTTTTGGTTTGTTAGCAAATTTATGTTTCTACCTTCAGTTCTTAAGTTGTTAACTAAAGATATTAGTTTTGCTTCACTTTTGCCTATTTCTTTAGGTTTACTATTGTTCTTTACATTTTTGCCAACATTCTTTATTTTGTGTCCTTAACTTTTGTTTTTATTTTTGTCAATAAGTAACTCTTACATTTATGTCTCACTCTTTAGTTCATTTCTACTAGTATTCTTAGCTTTTAATTAATTCTAAATATGTTTTAAGATTTCTAACAATTTTTAGTTTAACGTTCTTCCATTCCCTTGGTTCTAAATCATCTTTTATTTTTGCCATGGACTCATCCTTTTCACTTTTTCTTATGCTTACCTGCTTTAATTAACAAATTGAATTCATTGTCAACGTCTTAAATGTGAGAATTCCCTAATGTTCTTTTTAGAGTAATTATTATAGAACCTTCAAGCAACAATGCATCCCGTTTCTACTACAATCATATGATTATGGCATTATTTGCACATTTTTTCAATCAAATAACGTTTTTTCATTAACTTTTTCATAAATTCCTATGCTTAAAAGCAGCAAGGATCTCCAAAAATCTTTTTTTCTTTTTTCTTTTTTTTAAGTAATGTAAGTAGCACACCTGAGTGCTTCTGCTGTAAGTGGCCAGAAGGAAAGGATTTTGGAAGAAACAACATAAATAATTTGAAGTATTCTTTTTTTTATTTAATTGTCAGATCATTGCAAACTAATGATAGTCATTATTTTATTTGGAAATGCTATTGGGATAACTTTTTTGTCTTAATCTTTTTGTATAAATTGACATGTCATTAAAATGATTGATTTTTTTAATTCATGTGAGACCCGTAATATTGAATACATCAACTCATCTAATGACATATGAAAATTGTATAAAAAAGTGAGATAAAAAAGTTGTCCCAATAACACCACCCAATTTTATTTGCCATCTCAACTAAAATTAATGAAAACTAATAGTATTACTTTTTTTTTATTTTAATTGCACAATAAAAAATAATCATCTCTCATTCTTTATTCCACCACACTCACATGCCATGTGATTCGAACTCAGGATTTTTTACTTTCAATGAAAGGAGATGACCACTGAATTACTTAGGTAGTTGACAAAACTAATAGTATTATTAATAAAGAATTAATTTACTTTAATCGCACATTTTAAGAGTTTATTTGCTTGCATTTTATTGAGTAAATTACTATGATTATCGGTTGGAAAAAGTTTGTAAACTTTTCATATTGCATAAATTTTTTTGGAGCAAATACAATTTGAGGTAGGACAATGAAAAATAGCATGACATTATTATGGTTTGAGTTTTAATTATTATTAGAATATTAAGTATACTTAACAACTAATTTATAATTAAAGTCTGCTACTTTATATCGCATAATTGACTCTTCAAAGAATTTACAACAATTGTATATTTGTATAGCTAGGTGGGGGTGGGATGCATAGCGTAGCAGTACAGCACACCATTGGTAGGGACACATCAATTAAAAAAAATGGAATATAATGGTTTAGAATAAACAGACAAATCCATTAGTTTTTTTTTTTTACTATTTTTTTGGTATTTGATAATCACATTGAGTTTTGATTAATCCAGAATCAAGTCGCATCAGATCCTATTTTTGAGAAAACTCTTTCAACACTTATTTTTCTATTCACAAGACTTGAATTCAAAATTTTATTTTAAAAAAATCAAATTCTTTCCACCAAAATCAACAAATAATTGATAAAAACCTATTAGTTACGTCATGGTAAAATTGTTTGTTATTTTAATCATATATTCAAGTTTCAATCCTCACTTTTAACCGACCTTTGACTCCAATATTTTGGTCTCAAGCCTTAAATGCTTAGGTGAGGAGGTTGGAGCTTTGAACTCTACCACAGTCGTAAATTTTATCAAAAAGTGATCTGATAATCGCGCGCCTCATTTGAGGGGGTGAAATATTTACCTGATCTAAGGATTAATTGTTAACAATTAACTTATACTAACTTTCTAACCATTACCTTCCTAAAAAATAAAATAATAATAATAATAATAAAAAAAGCTATACGTTTAAGTGTCAATTCGCCGCCCTTATGTTTCAAAGAAAAAAAAACATAAAATAAAAACACCAAGAATAATAAATAATAATAATAATAAACTAAAAATTAAAAACCCTGTCTTCCACCATCGACTCTTTTCAAAACATCACGAGGGAGGACTTTGACCGTTACCTTTCTACTTTTCCCTTGGCTGGCTGGCTGGCTGGCTGGCTGGCTAAGGTTTTTACCATTAAAGATTTTGTTAAGAATATTAATTTTAATTGTAATTTTATTAATTTATAAAATTTTAAATAATTAATTATAATATTTAAATATATTTATTTATAAATTTATTTAAATTTATTAAATAATAAATATTAACTATTTTATCACTTATCAACTATTTTTAAGAGTTAAATTAAAAAAGTT